TGGATTTCAGTTGAGTCGGTATTTGGATCACTCTCGAGAATAGTTTGCCAACCACCACGGGCGCGAACAGCAACTTCACCCTTGGTGCCTCTATCGTCAAAGGTCTCAACCTCGAGGTGGAGGAAGTCGAGTTGCCCTCCGAGCTCGCTTTGTCCATCAAAGCCCCCGAAGCGGAAGAGGCGGGTTTTGCTCACGCAGATGGCACTGCCGCCTCGAGCAGGGCCCGGAGCAGCTGGAAGCTCAGTCCAAGTACGGTCGTGGACGTTGAAGGCCCAAATATCATTGGTGCGCTCGCCGCTGGCGAGGCATCCAGCATGAATGAAGAAGGTACCGTAGCCATCCGACTCTTCATCCACAGCATCTTCAGCAACATTACCAACTACAGGCGCTTGAGGAATGCCCGTCTTAGAGGTGTCTCCGAGTGCCCACTGTCCCCAAGTCTCAGGTTCCTTCGGCCGCTTAGGAGCAAAGTCCCGGGGCCGGTCGATCGATGTGGCTGTGTGATAGCTTCGCGGGGCAGGCTGGGGCACAATTGCACCACCTGGAACGACAGGGGCAGGGTCAAGGTATGTCCATGTGTTGGAGCGAGTGTCAAAGACCCAAACACGGCCACCTTCGTTCAGAGGCCGCATGTCGGGACCTCCGCGACCGCCAAAGAGAAAGATACGGGACCCGATGACAGCCGTAGCATGGCCGACTCGTGAAGCTGGGACATCGCCCAATTCCGGTTTTTCTGGACCAGCAGGCTGCTTACCTTTGGACTTGCTCTCGACCTCTTCATCTGAAGATTCGTCTTCATCTTCATCTTCTTCTTCGTCATCCTCCGCAAGAGAAACTTCGTCTAGCTTTTTCTCAATCTCCTCTTCGTCTGGCTTCTCGTCGGATTTGACTGGCTCCGGAGCCTTTGGCTGAAGGGATTGCTGAACCTCAGCCCTCTTCGGCTGAGCATCTGGTTTGACCGGTGATGCCTTGATCTTGAAGTAGTCGGCCCCAGCCGAGGACCAGGGCAAAGTTACGACATGCATATCATTATCGACGGGCTTTCGGGGCTCAATCTCTCCGCCAAAGAGGTAAGCGGTTCCGTGGACAATATTGAGAGAATGGGAAGAGCGGGGAACGTCAGGGGCATCAATGCGCTCCCATGTTCCTTTCATAGAACTCTTCTTCTGGTGAGTTGCTGAGGGAGCGGATGGAACGGAAGGCATAGGCATAGAGGGGAGGTTTTGCTGGACATTGTGGAGGAGGTCGGTGGTACGACGCTTGAGTAGAGAGAAAGATTCCATGATGATGGATATGGGCCTGAGGGCCGATAGGTTTGAGCAATATTGGTATTTCGCTGAGGTTATAGGTTTATGTGCACATCAACTGAATGAATGAGATGATGCAGGAGGAGAAAATGAAACATGCAAACCCAGTCAGCAGCGGGGGGAGCTTACAGTACGAAGTGAGATGATGCTGGCGATACCTAATGACGGGGATGACGTAGGCGCATTTACGCCCATCTACAAGGGGTCTCTATGGATAATTATAGATCTTGGGGATCATAATGAGGCACTTATTATTGGCACAAAACTTACAACAAGCTCGACTCTTCAATTCCTTCATGCCAATCCAGTAGCTGGGCTCTTTTTGTCGATGCATGTGATGCAGGCCATGCTTTGCATTGGATCTGACGGGGTGAGCTTACAGCGGCCAAGACGGACGTTGAAGGGACCTGCGGGGTACAGTACCTAATGAGGGACCTACCTTAGTACCTAAGGTAGGTAGGTAGGTTAGTACCAGTTAACGCAGTTCACCTATTGTTTAGTAGCCTGCTACCTTTAGGTACTAAATTAGCAGTCTAGTGGCGGAAAGCTGAAGAGCTCGGGCTCAGCCAAGATGTCATGTAAAAACTGTTCTCAGTGGCTATTCTCTTTCCTCTCTTTGACCACTCCCTTGTAGAGAATGGACAGCATATCGAGTCGGATAGGTCCTGTTTCACAAAATGAGGCATCGAAGCCTCGACTAACTACCAGAGAAAATACTACCAAGTGGCAGTGCAAGCTAGCAAGCTGACATACCGCATTCAAGCGGAGCTTCAGCTTCGGCTCTCGAGGCTCGACTCTTGTTGAATCTCGATTATCCTAATCGCGAATAGGGCAGCAGAAGATTAGAGGGTGGATAAATAGCGAACAAGATCGAAATAAACAGCACTTGAGAAACAATGCTTTATTTTGCCTCGTTATTGACTCAACTTGTAATTGGCGCCCACGCCCATTTCAAGAAGCAAGGATTATCAACCCCCCCCTGTCTCAATGCTCTGGGGTCATTGGCTGCCCCCGAAACGGGCAGATTTCCTCTCAGACTCTGGGCGATGAGATGCAGGTGAAATGGGCAGCTGAAGCAGCAGATCGCCAGCGGTTCGCCAGTATCAGCAGACTGGACGCCTTCAGCTCCCATTTCTCGGCCCTCCAGGCCATATATACAGACGATTCCGACATGAAAAACGCCTGTTCACCTGTATCATTCCCGCAATCAGCCTCATAAGCCTCTCGTCTTATGCGCCGAGCTGCCAGTCTGCCTTCTGAGACGCTAACGCTCCGCACACATGGATGAGATATACCACAAGATCGCCGAGTTCAATTCACGGCGAATCGTCCAAACGCACGACGTCCTCTCGTTCAAGTTTAGTGAGCTTTGGAGCAGGGATGATACTGGCATTGTCGACTACCATGAAGGAGTGACTACAATACCTGATGTCGCCTCCTGGCTGGCCATGGAGACGCGAACAGGCACAACAGGACCAGAGTCGCTAATTCTTCGCCTGATATGGCCCAAGTTTATCCTCGACGATAACTGCGTTGAGCTTCCCGAAGATGCCAAAAATCAGATTCTAGGCAAGTTTGGTCTTGAGCTTGCATATAATTACTTCTCGAGTTGTGTCGCGGGCGTCAATGCCTTTCCTGAGATTGTCAAGTCTGAAGCAAACCAGCAGGCATACACTTTTTGCTATGCGCCTAAACTTGCGTCTGTATGGTCACATACTCGCTTCAGGCCACCTTCTTTGCGACCAGGTGTCACATATGGCATGATTCTGGCTGGCGATAAAGAGCAGCATTATCTAAAGAAGCTTCTCAAGAGCAAAAGCAAATGGAGCCTTAGCACAGCAAGCCACGCCATGTTCCCTGCATTCCTCTTTGCTTTCATGTTCCATGGAGAGATTGAGGTAACGCAGAACAACATGAAGCCTGGCATCCAACAGATAGAAGCGCGGACAGGTTATTCAGACTTCAAGACTGAACGGAAACATATCGCGGCTGGTGAGCTAGGCACACTCAGCGCACAGATGAGCGGATTCGCAGTCCGCCTAGCGAGTACAGAAAGGAAGGATAAGACGCTACAGAAGCTTCTCGAGTTTGTCCAGCAACGACTGAGCGCTGGCCACAGCTCGAACCCGGAAGCAGACGAGCTGATGAAGAACCACGTCGGCGTTCTCCAAAAACGGTTGATGATGCAGGCCATGGACAGGGAGTATACCTTGAAGAGAGTGCAAATCCAAATTGATGTGGTATGTCGGCCCTAAAGAGAGATGCATCACAGTGATACTGACGGCTTGCCAGTTGAATAATCTCATATCAGAGAACTACAGCCTTTCCAACTATATCATCTCCATATCCACTCTTCGCGACGCTGCGTCGATGAAGACACTGGCGTTTGTGACAATGTTCTTTTTACCAGGCAGTTTCATCTCGGCTCTCTTCTCGACCGATCTCTTCGATTGGGACAGTGCACAAGCTGATGGAGGAGACATCGGGGTCAAAACCACACCGCAGTTTCGATTATACTGGGCCGTCACCATACCACTGACCCTCATCACGTTTATACTATATTTTATGTGGGCTGAGTTCTCCAGCTTTGATCGGAGCCAGAGAAGAGAGCGTAGAAGGTGGGGCTTTCCCAGAACTGAGAGTATGAAAGCTCAAGATCAAACACGGTCACCGATGCAAGTATTGAAAGACCAACGCGAACGTGTTAGTGAGGCGTATGCGATGGCAAAGAGGAGACAGACTGTCTTCGGACAAGGTGATAAAGATGAATCGATACGTGCAAGGAATGAGTAGGCCAAGTACTGATTATTGAGATACCACTTGTGTCTACTGCTTGGATTGTGTGATAGCATCGTTTGGGAATTGGTTGATGATATGTAAGGTAGGTATGCTAGGGAATATGACGGTGGGGGTGACAGTCCCAATCATGGCATTGTTGAAATAGCACAATCTGCATGAAAGGGACAGGGGAAATGCCATGTTGGTCTAAAGTTCGAGATTATTATTTTTTTTGCCCCGCGGTCGAGACTCCAACCCATGTAACATTCTAACAGTCAACAATTGAAATGGGCATCCAATACAATGGCATCCTCTTGCCCAGACCTTCCCTCTTCCGTCTCCTCGGTCCAGGCGTTGGATCTCGATCCCATCTACCTTACCTTCCTCGAGCTCGAGTCCCACATGACGGGCATAGGTACTAGGTAAACAACAGCTCAATTGGTGGCCATTTGAATGTGCCCAATCGTGCTGAGGTCGGGGTATAACCTCCGACCACAAACACATCCGCCCGCATGATCGAGGCCTGGGCCTTTCTCTAACCAACTGATAGATACAGTAGATGTATGGTACAGTACACGCGAGGAACCAGCATCTAGCCTGATCCCTTCTTCCCCTCATTCCCTTTCCTTTCCTCTTCTGTTCTGTTCTGTTCTGTTCTCTTCTTTCTTTCTTTATTCCTTTCTCCCTTACACCAATTTTCTTATTTTGGCTGTTTATGTCAATCTGTGCCCGTTATTTCGAGGCGCCGTGACGGTCTTCATTGGAGGCTTGTGCTGTTACGATCGCCCGATCTACGTCAGATTTGATTGGGAGTGACGCACTACCTAGTCACATCAGCCCCAGCGCAGAAATAAACACAAACCAGCACGATTCCCGAGGCCTTCGCAAGACGACAGGACGCGATACATGGCAACAATGGCCTCGCGTTCAGCTTCAGGTACCGCTAACCCAGCACCGGGGACCGTCGTGCCTGCGCAGCTCGGGTTTCTCTCCATTTTCAACCCCACGCTTGGCAATACCGACGAAACCATCGAGGATCAGATCGTCTACTATGCCTCTGTTACAACACAGGCCGCGCATAATAAGCGCAGGCGCACTCGTGGCCAACCGACCCAGAACATCTCTCCAGAAGAGCGAAACGAGCGTTTACGACAGATTGGCCTTGCCCAGGGCATGGCTAGCTTCAGCCGCGGTTTTGCAAGCGGTTCAACAGTAGACACTATCGACACCGAGAAGTCAAGAGTCATACTCCACGAGCTCGAACCTGGCTGGTGGATTCTAGCAGTAAGAACACCATGGGTTTTGTTGTCTTCAACGCCATACTCACCAATGACACTAGAGCATCGACCTCACCAAACTACCTCTCCCTCCTCGGCTCACTACTAAGAAGAGCGAAGCCGCCGAAGAACGATATGAATACTCCAGTCGCGAGATGAAACCCGCGAGCCTGTTGCTGCGCGATCTGCTACGAGCCCATAGCATTTTCCTCATGCATCATGACTCCTCGTTGAGCGCCCTCTTCGTGCGCAACAAGAGAACCAAGTTCATCACTATATTGAGTCGATACTGGGATCTCTATCTTTCGACCTGGAATGTCATGATGCATGGGAACCCAGCTCGTGACATCTTTGGGGGCATCCCCATTGCGGCCTCTGGTGAGCTGGGCGTCGGCGTCGGCGAGGAAGAACGAGGTAGCGGCGAGCGAGCCGTATTGGAAGGACTGGTTGGGAGAATAGAAGGGCTCGTCGATCTAGTTGTTTCCAAGTTCGGCGACTACAACCCCGAATCGCCTCCTCCAAATGACCCCTATGGCGACCCTGAGCAATGGCTAGGAACAGGAAGAGAACCTGGTCCCGATGACGGTGCCATCTTTTTGGGTACTGGCGCTCTGTCCCGAAAATCAGTGAGAGACGTTACTCACTGGATGGAGGATCTATACACTTGGGGCAATCACGCCTATGGTATTATAGAGAGCCCGACATCGGTTCGGCGCGCAAAAAGGCGACGGGCAGCGGAACGCCAGCAAGCGGCCCAAGATCAAGCACGGGCACCAGCGAGTGAACTCGCGAAGTCTTCAGCCGGAGAACAGGCTGGGGAGAGTTCCGACAAAGACCAGCCCCAAATCCAAGTGACTGAAGATGGCAAACTGGAAAAGATGGTTCACTATCTCAAGCTCGGATATGGCACATACTGGTCGTTTCCTGGCGGCACTAGTAATGGCGATTCTCCTGCCAAGCAGCCTGAGAGTCCGCAGCAGGATCCTGAACCTGCCCAAGACACAACCAAACTTGCACGGCCCAGCCTCGCGGAACGCACGCCTTCATATGAAGCTGCTGGCCACTACTTGATTGGTTTAAAGGGGGAGATCAATGAAGATTATAGCGGGACAGAAAGTGGAAGTTCCGATGATGCTGGCGACGGGGCAAACAACTCTCGTACTGTCTTGCGAACTGTAAACATTGAGCTTGAGAGTGAGGCTCTGGATAGACCAGAGGCCATAACTGTGCGCGACTTTGAGCATCCGGCCAGTGCTCTCACGCAGTCGCAGGTGGTAGGGAATATGATACCTGGCTACGACTCCCACGATCTCAACAAGGCAAAGAAACTGCGCGTTGTTGTCTACGTCAACCGACCATTCATGTTCACCTTTTTGTTCAATCTACGGACCGACTCCCTTGCTATGGATTCACTCTATCGCTCCCTTCATCATCAACTCGCTCCTCTACGCAAAGCTCTTCTCCTCTCCACAAGCTATCGTCCGGAGCGTCCTGGGACCGATGCAGGTTCTGGCAGTAACCACTCTGGAAACAACATATATGATCTCGTCTGGGATCCCGTCTCATTGACGGTTTATTCATCAATACCAAACATACCAGAAGTCTACGATGATACGGAACCATGGTCCCGTCCTGATGCTCTGAACACGCACCTTCACCTGGTTAATCTCTACATCGGTACGCGGTCCCGTGCAACTGCTCTCGAGCGTACCGAAAAGTCCAGCCGTGGATGGTGGATCGTCTGGACACGTCTGCTCGACCGTCAAGAAGATGCTGCCACGGGGAATCTCTCTACAATTCACGAAGGCGGACCTGGCCCAAATACAGACCAGGACACCTCTCAGGATGACGGAGAGAGGAAATATTCTGGACCCGATCCCCGACATCCGGATGTTGCCAAGGAAATCTTCCTCATCCGCCGCGCAAGCGATCACGTCGGCTTCCGTACAGATTCCGCGGAGGGTGCAGGTAAGCTCGCTCAGGGCATCGGCGTCGACACACGCCGCTATGTGGAGGAACTATTGAACCTGCTATGACGGTTTCAGAATACACCGCATTCCACTGGATTCATGATTTACGACTTGGGGTTGACTTTCGAGGCGGTGCTTCCTGTACCAAGCCGCCTTCTTGGATGAGCACGAGAACTCGCAAATGATAAATGCAATACGATAGACGTCCTGTATATGCATGTTACGCATACGCAATACGCGCGGCTGGGACGGGAGTGTTGAGAGTCTGGCAATGCCTATATTTGTACCCGTATCGATAGCTCGTATTCAAAACGCCTCTCTGTAAGGCGTAGAATCATTAACTAGTAGCCAACCGCGTCTATTTCTGCCTTCCCTTATCCTTTTCAAGACGGGCCGGAATCCCTTCGTGCGACGCTACCTGCTTTCCAGCCCTTGCTAACATGAATCCTCACTGCGAGATCATCAGTAAAGTCCCACTACAGCTGAAGGGAGTGACTTCGTTAGACTGCTCCAAGACAGAGTACCCTCTCATTCACCCCTGGATACCAGCTTTTTATTGTCCAACCGTGCTATGACATCGACCACCGACAAGGAATCTGGTTTAGTGCAGCAGTTCGTCATTGTGAACCCGGGCGATATTCATTAGCAGAGTCAAGCTCCCCATTTCTGTCGATCGTTAAATGTCCAGGTTTCAGCTCAAACGAGAATCCATTAGAGTCGGTCGCTAATAGACCCTGTTAAACACATGGGTTGGTTGAGTACGAGGTCATTGTAGACATGGAGTAGCGACCAAATGGCCAGGATCCCAAATTAAAACCCGCTCGCTTCATCTGCCCTAAGATTAGATTCAAAATAAACAATGCTAGGCGACATGTCACAGCAATTGAGGGGAAATCACATAACATAACGTGATGTAATCAAAAGTGCAGTCCCTGATTGAGGGTACTGTATTGTTTGTCTATCCGTACGGCGTATCCAAAGTTTATGTACATAGAAGTCAACGATTGTCAACCGGAGCTGATTCGCCCAAGAAACCAAAAACACCCCAATCCAGAATCTCCAGGTCTGAGTCCAAATGGTACCCAAGTGCCTTTTTTATGTCTTACGCCCCAGCGCCTTCGGGGGTGAAGAGATTCCCGCTTCATGAAGAGTACAAGTCGTAAGAAAAGGGTATCCTTCGTATTGTTTTCATGATTCAAGAAAACGTGTTTGGCGTGGCGCTTAGTTGAACCACCACTCGACCTCGGTGCGGCCAGAGTCGAGGCTGCCCCAGATCTCCTCGTAGACCTTTCGGCTGACATCGATGTCGTTGACAGCGCAGCCCATACACTTATCGGCGACGGTAGCCTGGCAGGTCTTGCCGTTGGCCTTGATGGTGATGGTCTTGCCGCACATGGGATTGTTGTTGGAGAGCGGGCCCATCAGGAGGTGGGAGAGAGCGACAATGTTGATCGAGTCATCCTTGCCAGTGTCGTCCTCACCGCAAGCACCTTGACCAATGTCATAGTATGTGAACTCACCGTGCTTGGTGTCAGAACCGCCGGAGGAGCTACCGCCGGAGGCAGGCTTGGCAGCCTTCTCCTGCTGAACGGGAGCAACCTCAGTCTCGGGCTCGGCCTCCTTCTTGGGGGCCGAGACAACAGGCTTGGGGGCCTGAGTGGTGGGCTGAGGGGCAGGAGCCTGGGTGGTGGGCTCGACGGGAGCGACATACTGAGAGGTAGGCTCAGCAGCAGCCTCGGCCTCAGTGGTGGGCTTAGGAGCAGGAGGAGGAGTGTAGACGCTGGTGACCAGAGTAGTGGTAGGGGCAGGAGGAGCAGGCTTCTTCTCCTTCTTGGGGGCAACCTTCTTGGGGGCAGCCTGAGTTGTCTCGGGCTGAGGAGCAGTAGTAGGCTCGGCCTCAGGTCGGACCCAAACGGTGGTGGTAGCGTCGACCATCTTGGTAACGTACTCGATCTCAGTCACCCACTCAACCTCAGTGACAACAGAGCGCTTCTCGTTCTGGTGGTGACGGCGGTGGTGGTTTCCATGAGGGTTGGCATGGGGCTGAGCAACAGCAGCAGCGGCGAAGAAGGCGGAAGCAAGAGTGAAAGACTTCATGTTGATGTATGGATATAGGTTGTTGTTGTTGTTTTCGAGTTCTGTTATTCAACCAAAGAGTGGCTGTAGCTGTGATACGTCTGGTGTGTAGACGAAAGGGTATCTCGACGCGATGGATTGCTAGGCAAAGGATGGTTTAGATTCTGTTCCACAGGAATGAATCTATTCAAAAACGAATTGAAGGAATGGACGTTGATCGTCGTGTGAGGGAGTGTGTGCGTGAGAGAGAAAGAGTCCTGCTCAGTGCTCAGGTGGGAATGAGTGGTGTTTGAACTCAAAGAGATCGTAGGTGAAGAAACGAAACAAGGGGAGGAACCGACTCTTCCTTTAATACTACGCCTCGCCGTAAAAGATGGCGCCGGCTCATTATGCTAGCTCTTAAAAGACTTGGCTTTAGACTAGTACCTTACTCCTAGCCAGGTACCGAAGACTGGAGGTGTGCCATCCATAACCAGCGCTGAACGCAGTGTGTCCGCAAGCAACCCGCTGGAACTTGTGAGTCAAGGGTACCGCAACTGTAGGCAAAAGAACCGCAGGCGGCGGCGTACCGGATTCATCCCCGGTAGTGGAAGCTGAGAGGGAGTTCCGCTTTGGGGGGGGGGCCTGGCCACGCGTGGTTTTTTCCAAAGAAATCCACCCACAAGCATAGCCCACACACCCAATTCCAAGCCAGTCTTTTCTCGTGCTTGGCCTTGTTCCGAGGTGGATAGTGGAGACGAAACGGGCCACAGCACGGACGTGGCAAGCTGCCATCTCTTTCGCTCCTCAGGGGGTTTTCACCGGGCCATTGGGATCTGCTGGAGCCAGCCATAAAACACTTCCCTGAACCATGCAAACGGTCTGCCCTAACAGCTACGTAAAAAAAAGCCAGAGCGCTACACAGCCTGAGAAGGAGGCCTGCGGAGGACAAGGAGAAGCAAAATCAACCCTGTCGCCGCCCTTCAGGGGTGCCGTGGCACCATCAAGGGCATTCATCGTATTGTGCTGCAAAGTTGATCGCCAGCCTCCTCGTCCAGAACAGAACCTCAAACCCCGTCCTCAATCAGCTAGCTGCCTCATCTGAGGACAGCGCTGCGGGGAATAGCGACTCACGTATTGCGGGCCGCGTCATCTCAGTATAGCAAAGTTGGAGAGGTCTTGAACGGAATCATCAGAGTCATATCACCGAGCAACGTGATTTTTCAGATCTCTCACCACCCTCAAGTGGTCCAACTCAGGCATGTTTTCTCGCCCAGGATGCTGTGATTGGTCAGTCTGCAAGGGGCCGCCCTGTCGTCAGCTTCCGAGTTAGATCTTGTCAGGGCTAAGAGGCAGCCAATGACAGTCGATATGTGCCTGACGACGGCGGGAGGTCTGCGGAGCGAGAAAACAAGGAACATCTGACACTGATGGAGGACCAAAGTTGGTGGAGGGGGGACACACATGGGAAATCGATCTCTGAGTTGTCCTGTTCGCTGGCGCCTGTGCCTGGCCCGAAACGCAGAGGCTTGAGAGGCTTGAAAGCACTCAACGAGTCAACGTGCATCCGGGACGGGAGGTGTGGAGGGCGCCATCCGCCAAGTTGAAACAAGACCCATTTCTACCCAGGTTCAGGGCAACGTTAATCTGGGTGCCACCTCATCCACTCATCAACAACCCAACGGCTTGCTGACATGGCTTGCAGCAGTACATAGGAGCAGTTTAGCAGTCTAGAAGCGTGAGAAGTACCAGAAACCAGGTGGTGTGAGGGAAATAAAAAGTCTTCTTTGCCGCCTTCTTTTGCTGGGTCGTTCGGCATAATGTTGGCGCCAATGCATGCGTGACGTTCTCACTTATTAAGTCGTGCTCCAAGTCATTAATCCCTTTGCTCTGTTGTCTGTGTGAACATATATGCGCTTCACTGTGATGCGATGTGATGAAAATCTTACGGCGTGCTTGAAATTTCTTGAGAAAGATGCAGGCCACCATGACTTGGTTTTCTTTGCTAAGCACGGACTTCATTGGTCCAGCTTGAACAGTGTCTACTACTCCGTATTGCAACAAAGAATAGACAAGTCTCAGACACATGTCGCTCCGAGGATAGTCAGTAACGCTGGTGTGGGTGCTCTGCATTTCTATTCTCTCTTCCACGAATTCCGAACCCTCGGATCAGTGGGAGAGTCAACAGTTTAAGGGCCCATACCTCCATCATAACGACACATACTCGGAGCAATACTTGAGGCAGACTATCATTGAGTCGACCCAAGAACCCTTGGCGATGTCACGTTGAAGTCCTGTTGGTCAGACTTACGACCAGTATGCAGTCCGGTCAGCGTCACTGTGTTTCCTCATCAGGTCTCCGCGCCAGGACTCAACAATGCATGGACAGTTTTCAGGCGCATGCCAACGAAGATGCTGTGCAAACAAAGCGTTCCTTGACCTTTCTCATCATCTTGACAGTTGAGGTTGACTTTCTTTTCTGGTAGTCTTGGTTTGGCTTGTGGTTGGGCGGCTGGTGAAAGAAAAGAGGAAAAGGCCCTGGCGCTGAAAAACGGGCCTATCCTCGTCGAATATCTCTTCGACCTTAAACGCTTTCTTGGCCATTTTGACAAAGGTCATGTCCGCGCGTCTCCTCTTCTTGAAACAAAAGTACACGACAGCTGCGGGGTTAAGCTCTAATAGAGCCTTAAGCGTAGACATCAGCAGAGGGAAAGCAGGTTCGAAATAGACACATTCGCCAGCCAATATCACGTCTGGCTTTTGCTCTAGCACGGCAGCTGGCAAGTCTTCGCCCCTATATGAACAGACCAGTCAGCTTGGTGGCTGACCCTCATCTAACCAGGGGATTGGTACGGCAGAGGAGAATGTTACACATGGAAATAAATTCGATTTCACGTACCAGTTGAGCACCATCGCCTTGGCTTTGTCTTGTAGGTTGTTCAGCTCGATGTTGTGCTTCATCAACCCATACATCTCCAGCTGGTCCGTCACCAACAACTGGTTCTGAAGCT